AAAAGATACGTTTGTACCACAAGGGGAACTATGACATGATGAACTCCGAGCTCTCCGACTATTTTGTTTCTTTTAATGAAAACTTCGACTGCCATAACGCTGATGAAAATTGGCAAGCTTTTAAGACCAAATTGTTTGAACTTATTGAAAAATACATACCGTGCGCAACAATTCGAACTACCGCGTCTAAACCATGGTACAATAATTCCCTTCGTCGTCTATCTAACAAAAAGAAAAGATTTTTCAGGAACGCTAAAAAAGCAAATACACCAGAAGCTTGGCCTAAGCATGCCACTTGCTCTTCTGAATATAAAAGTATGTTGAGAGAGTGTAAACGCACATTCTTACAACACACTCTACCTAATATGTTACTAAACAACCCTAAAAAATTTTGGAGCTTTGTTAATGAAAAACCACACTCAGAAATCAATCTAGTCAATAGCTCTGGTGATAACATATTGGATAGTGAATGTGCAAATATTCTAAACAGGGTATTTTCTGATGCATTTACCGTTTCTACACCCATTACTGGAATTCCTCCTGTTACAAAAAATTATTTTCCAATGGATCCTGTTATTATAGACTTTCAAGGTGTAATCAGCATTATAGAATCCCTCAAAATGTCTTCATCATGTGGCATAGACGGTATTAATGCGAAGGTTCTAAGTAACACTAAATTTGCATCCGGCCTTTACCTCACAAAAATATTTCAGCAGTCCCTTGATACAGGTGTGTTACCTTCCGACTGGAAAATTGGTAAGGTCATTCCGGTCCACAAGTCCGGAAGTAAAACATCTCCACTAAATTATCGGCCAATATCACTCACCTCCATCTCCTGCAAGATCCTCGAGCACGTCATCTACAAGCACCTGATTAACTTCCTGGATTCCTGCAACTTCTTCACCAACGCGCAGCATGGCTTCCGGAAACACCTGTCTTGTGAGACCCAGCTACTTTTTCTCACTAACGACCTGTTTAAAAATCTTGACACTGGCTATCAAACTAACGCTGTTTTTCTTGATTTCGCCAAAGCTTTTGATAAAGTTCCACACAACCGCCTTCTCTTTAAGCTTAGTTCTCTCAAACTGGACCCTCCTGTTCTTCAATGGATTGAATCATTCCTTACTCATCGCTCTCAATTCGTTTTCGCTAACAACACGTCCTCCTCTTTCTCTCCCGTTTCTTCCGGTGTTCCACAGGGAACTGTGCTTGGCCCCTTACTCTTCTTAATCTACATTAATGATCTCCCTATTCACCTATCGTCCTCTGTTCGTCTTTTCGCTGATGACTGCGTTGTTTATAGACTAATAAAAGACCCAAACGACCATATTGCACTCCAGAACGACATTAACAAAATTGCTGAATGGTGCCGCACATGGCAAATGTCTCTTAATATTAACAAATGCATGCACCTCTGCTTCACACGTTCCTCCTCCCAGCCCTTAAACTCTTTAACACTCAACGGCATTACCCTTCAGACTGCTGCACAGTACAAGTATCTTGGCGTCCATCTAACCACTAATATGTCCTGGAATGTTCATGTAGACAAGACAATATCCTCTGCAAACCGTTCACTTGGCTATATCCGTCGCAATTTCAAGTCTGCTCCTTCTAACCTCAAGCGTCTTCTTTACGTCACGCTTGTTCGCCCTAAACTAGAGTATGCTTCAGCTATCTGGCATCCCCATCAGGCTTTCCTAACCAACGCAATCGAATCTGTTCAAAATCGTGCTGCTCGATTTATACTTTCTGATTACTCTCGCTTTTCTAGTGTCACTGCAATGAAATCTCAATTAACCCTTCCTGACCTTTCCGTTCGTCGCAAAATTTCCCGTCTTTGCCTTCTTCATAAAATTTACTACTCTGAACCATTACGACAGTCTCTCCTCAGCCCGCCCAGCTATATTGCTGCAAGAGTGGATCATTCATGCAAGATCGCCCGTCCCAAGACCACTTCAGCAGCCCATCAGCATTCGCTCATACCAGAAGCTATTGTGGACTGGAATGGCCTTCCCGATGACATCGTCACCATCACCGATAACGCGAAATATAGAACTGTACTAACCAACCACTCCCCTCTATAATGCCCCTTGGGGCCTTGAGGGTAATTGTAAATAAATAAATAAATAAATAGAAGTAACATGCAGTTCCTTGAGTGGCCGCTGCGGTAGAAATGGCGGCGTTGTGTTCGCCATTAGCTCGGTTCTGGTGGACAGATTGGGGCCACTTTTTCAGAGCAGTCTCTATGGCAGTTTCCCAACTGAGTTGTTCTAGTAACGTTGGTATATATGCTCCAACGTTAGTATGCTCGTTCGTTGCTACGGAATGGCGATTCTGTGTCATTCAACCTCGCGTTTCATTGCGAACACTGATATCAAGAAATTTCGAATGAACTTGTGAACACTGTGAAAACAATAAAGTTGCAGTTCCGAATGAACGAATTACGGTTGAACCACGGTGTAAGAGGTTGAACGAACGCCGAGTAAGGTCGCTGCATATCACTGTGTTTCGAAAAGTATAGGGTGATTTAAGGAGACGCCAGGCTCTTTAAATCGACCGCAAAATTCGGTTTCTTAACCTATCGCGCTACGACTTTGTGCAGCGTTGCCCACAGATGGTACTTTTTTTTTTTTTTTGTGAAATTTGCAAAGAGCGAATTTACCTGAGGAAAAAGTAAAGAAAGAAAAAGGCTTAGCTCCTATGAAAACGCAGCGACGCCACCGGTCTTCAAACAACACGGCACCGTTTCGCACGGGAGACAAGAGATGGCGCAAGCGCTCGCGACGCCAACTGCCGCCAACGAGCGAGCATACGACGCCGAGAGCCGACGTTTTTAGCAGACAAGGAACTGCAGTTCCTTGTTGTTGCCGCGCCTGTTTTTGTTTCTGCGACTGTCTCCGCCTGCGGAACGCCGCCGCTTTTGAGTCGAAAAGATTGTCTGCTAAAGACGCCGGCTCTCGGCGCCGTATGCTCGTTTGTTGGCGGCAGTTGGCGTCGCGAGCGCTTGCGCCATCTCTTGTCTCCCGTGCGAAACAGTGCCGTGTTGTTTGAAGACCGGTGGCGTCGCTGCGTTTAGGGGTGTCGCGAACTTTTGTCGAACCAGATATTTTGGTCAAACTTTCATGGTTCGACTGGGTCGAACCGGTTTGACGAACCTTCGACCTTTTCACCAGATTCGACCGGTTCGACTTTTGTGGACAGTGTGGCCAGAGCAGGGTGTAAGATAGACAGGTGGGGAAACGGCCCATAGAAGCCTACCGCAGCGCCGTGACCAGATTGTGTACTCGTCTGCTTGCGGGTACCCCCGACTTGCGACAGATGGCGCTGCGGCGAGAGGAAAAAAATTGGAATCGAATTTGCGTGGAACGCTATAGGAGAGTGCGAAAAATAAGCCGAGAGAACGACAGTTCTTCATTAAAAATCCACGAGAAACCATCTCCGTCAGTTTAGAATGTCGCCATCGGTCGCCCACCCGGAGTGAGAGTTCGCGGTGCTCCACATAGATGGCGCCACAGAAAAAGAGAAAGCCGAGGGGGACACAATGCGGTCACTCATTTGGCTGTCGTTTCCCCACCTGTTTATCTTACACCCTGGGCCAGAGCTTGATACAAGCATGTCTAGGTTTGGAATTTTTTTTTTTTATGCAAAGGGTTATTCTATATTGTGAACAGCTGCAATTAAAAGAAACTACTTCTAATCAATGAAGAAGTTAAATTTTTAGTACTGTATTAACTGAAATAGCCAATCAGCGCTGCACTTAATTTATCTCTTAGCCATTATCATCCAATCCGAAGCCAACTGGCCTGCCTGCCACGCATGCGCACGCGAGTCGAACCTCAATAGAAGGTTCGTCGAACCTTCCACTAAAAATTCGAAAAAGTCGAACCTGGTCGAACTCGAACCGCGGCCGGTTCGCGACACCCCTAGCTGCGTTTCCATAGGAGCTAAGCCTTTTTCTTTCTTTGCGTTTTCCTCGGGTAAGTTCGCTCCAACGTCACTAAAACACTCAGTTGGGAAACTCGCCGTCGAAACCTGGGCCGCTGGCGTCCACCGAGACCGAGCTAAATGCGACAACAGCGCCACTCTTTTTCGTTTGTCTGTACTATGGTCACCTCGAGCTTTTTGAAAGCCTGTTTTTGGGTAAAAACAAACGAAAAAGACTGTTTTTGTATGAAATTTATTGAAGTTTAGTACCAAAAGAGGGGCGCGTTATGTTTTTTAAAATCTTTAGTTTGCAGGGTTTTGCGGCACAATTAATATTGTTTTTATACAACCATGCCTCAGCGGGCCTTTCAGGTAGCACGTCCCGCCCTAGGTGCATTTTAACTTCGGTAGCTCAACGCGGCGCGTCCGCCGGGGAGATGGGGGTGGCACCCCTGTAACCTCTACCGCTGTATCTGTTCCTAAAGCCGAAATAGAAGTCACGTGCAGTTCTTCGAGTGGCCGCTGCGGGAGAAATGGTGGCGTTGTGTTCGTCATTAGCTCGGTGCTCGGAGACAGGTTGGGGCCACTTTTTGAAAGCTGTCTCTATGGGAGTTTCCCAACTGAGTGTTTTAGTAGCGTTGGTTCGCTCTTTGCAAATCTTACAAAAAAAAAAAAAAAAATGCACCATCTGCGGGCAACACTGCGCAAAGTCGTAGCGCGATAGGTTAAGAAATCTAATTTTGCGGTCGATATAAAGAGCCTGGCGTCTCCTTGAATCACCCTGTACAATACGAGAGGTGTGTCAGGTGTGAAGGATGCTGACATCAAAATACTTTGTATTTTATCAATAAATATTCTTCACAGGTTCCTGAGACCGGAATTTGAGTTCGGCATGCGGAAATAAAACCCGCCACTCAGAAGGGTTAAAGATCTTTGAAACTGTCACAAATTCATATTTTGAGAGTTTTGGGGTCTGCTAAACAAAAGTACCCTTCGCAAAGCTACAGTGCCTGGAAAAAGCGCGAGAGCCTAATTTCGCTGTTTTCGTCGGGAGATGAGATACTTCTGGCAACATTTGAACAGTTTGCCAACATGGCGACTTCAAGTTGCGGCGTCGATGTGAGCAGCGTTAGCATTTTTGATGTATCGTCAATTGAAGAGGCTGAACGTTTATATAAACACCTCTGCGAAGAAGAGGTAAATGTTTTTAAATTCCCTTCAATGTCCATTTTATTTTGATGTTATTTTACTGCTGTCCTGACATTCGTTTTGTTTTCGGTTGTGCATTCCCTCCGGGGAGTTCCCGGGTGCGAGGCAATCGTGAAATATAATCGCACAGACTAAACCTTCAGCGGAAGCAAACCCTTTCGTTGCGCCAATATCTGTTTAGGTATCATATTTGTTGTGATAAAGTTTCAGGAACTAATATTGGTCTGATCAAATCTTAACTGGTATCCTTCTTCGCTCATGAACGGAGACGTAAACACGTCTGAGAACTGTAACCTAAGTCCCATAAAGTAAACGAACGATTTGTTGGGGCATGAATCCGTGCTAGGGTGTTTAGCTGGCATGTTAATTATATTTTTTCTCTTGGGTTAAAAGTGTTTGCGTTTCCGGAGTTCTTAACGTAATTTATTTTACATTTCCGATTCTATCTTCCCAATGTATCCATAAAACTTGCAAAAAATAACACGAACACAGCAGTACAAGGTTTAGTTCTCAGAATTGGCTGAGAAATTCGTTACCGTTAATTGCTTCGTGTAAAATTGAATGGCTATTTAATGTTTAAACAGACACCTCTGTCCCCTTAAACAATCGTCCATATTGCGAGTTGTCTATAATAACGAGACAAAAGTGCACGCATTTTCGCAGTTTGTCCCCTAAAACGGTGACCGTATATAGGCGTATCCATATCAGCGGCGTCCAGAGTGATGACATTAGCCTTTGGGCTTTAAGATTTTCTGAAGCTTTTACTCGCACTTAGCTATTATAATTCGCTTTAGGATCAAGCAAACAAGACACTGGACGGTCTGGTTTCGCAGCGAGTGGACCTGGAAGTGAAGATTGCCGACCTTCACAAGATTTTGTAAGTTTGCGGTACTCACGCCCAAAAGTAACCGAGGAAACTCAACAGCATCTGCAGAACCAGCACTCCTGTTTACCACTCTGGGTCTATATTTGTGCCCTTGGGTTAACGTGCATGGTGGTGTCTTTGTTGTTGTTCTTGTTATATTTGGCCACTCAAAGGGTTCATAAAATACCAACCTGCTATTGACATCATGGGATGGTGTGGCAAGCTTTGCCAGAGTGATTTATCAAACCCCTCTTACTTTTAGCTAGGCCTGAACCTTCGAATTCCTATTATACACACTGCTCGTTGAAAAAAAAACAAAAATAAAACAGTAGAGCTTTGAAGGCCTTGCATTACCACCTTTTGGAATTCACCATGTGCTCCAAAACTGCTTCACTGTCTCATATGGTATTTCTGTAGGTGAAGGCCCTTCTTAGCACCTGTTGAGAACAAAGTATTTGGTTAAATAAGACAAAGCAATTATGCACAAGCCAATACCATAGTCGGTGACAGGTTCAGAGTTCAAGAGAAGCTCCTCGTACCTCTTTCCAGTTTAGCAGAGTGAACGCTGTAGGGGAGGTGACCTCCTCTCCAGTGTTCACTCTCCTAAAGTGGAAGGAGGTGGGAGGAGCTTTCCCTGAACTCTTAACCTGTCACCGACTATAGTACACTCCTTGCACACAAGATGTGTGTGCATGTGATACTGATTGTAATCAGGGGAAGGTTGGATTCGTTTTTTTGTTTTAGACTTCTTTGTACACGATTGTTTCTGTTTTGCTTCTTGAGGTAATGAATTTATGTTTCATTTGCCATTTCACCTGTGTGGCACACGGCACTCGTGTTTTGCTCTGTTTTCCTCTAACAATGCATCGAAACATTTCTTGTCTCACAAGTGTGCAAAAGCAAACTTCCGACTAGACTGTGAAACCTTTCATCCATGCCTCTAAAAGTTTGTGTGTGTATGTGGCCGGTGGCACGTTGTGAATGACCTTGCAAATGTATATATAAGCATCAGTAACGTCGCAGTCCTATTAGATGTCTGTGGACTGGAAACACTGCCGTTTTCTCATTTTCCACACTGTACTCTTCATATTTTTTTGTGAAATTTTGTCAAGGCTGACAATTTCTGCAGCACTGCAATCCAGAACTACTGATAGGAAGAGGGTGTAAGCGGTCTCTGCATTTCCCTCTTTCCACTCACCACTGATGAAAATAATCAAAGAGAACAGAAAGAAAGGTGTCTCTTTGTCTTACCTTTCTCTTTATCATTTTACCAACTTTTTTTTAAAGGGTTACTTCAACGAAATTTGAAATATATCCGTTGTGTTCAAAAATAGGTTGAATAGGATCCACAATATCCGTAAATGACAATCACACATTTGTATTTTGAGCCTGGTGGCTGTATTTTTGGTTATAAATGGCTCACTCTAGCAAGCGCTCAGAGAAGGCCCAGCCTAGAGCACGTGACATCCGACGCAATCGTGACGTAGGTCGTCTCGGGACGAGCAAAGCTACAGCGAGGCTGACGTCGAGGGGATGGCCTAGTCATTCTAGCCACCGAAGCGGCTGCTTTTGTAGGAATATTGAGTGACGGGTTAATCTTTTATAATCTTGTAGGGGGACAATAGCTACTTCTGGAACACACAAAAGGGATTCTCGGGAAGACGGGAGTTCCTCCTTCCCCTCTTCTATCGTCGTGGCCGGAGGCGAGACACTCACCGTCACTAGCTGTCAAGGTTCCTAGACGGGCATTACAAACGAGGCGTTGGCGACATCCATCAAGTGCTCTTTGCTAATCGTTTAATTTGTTTTAAAATTTCTTGTCATGACTTTTTTAACAGTATATTGATGTGTTCGATGTGATACTGCTCCTTTGAACACATACAGACCATAAAAGAAGTGCCGAAATTTCGTTATAGTATCCCTTTAAAACGCTAGGAAAGCTGTGCCTGCCCCGCCAAACGTTGCGCAGAAAAGTTGACATCGAGTATAGTAAAAGTTTCTACCATAGGTGCCACTGGTCGTTGTAGGGTAGAAAAAACACTTTTTATAGCCTCGTCCCACTAGAGCGGCAAACACCGATTTTTGTCCGACGACACCACAAAGTTCCTTGTCGCTGATGATGTCCCACTGCAATGACAAACACCCGCGACAATCGCCGGCAAACGATCGATGACGGACGAGTTCTTGTCTGTCGTTGAGCTTGAAGTGCAGCAAGCAGTCCCACTCACGAACATCTGTCGGAGACAAACTTATCCTCCTCGCCCGCTTGTGCTTTCTGTTGCCTCCCTTCCCACCCTTCTACCCTTCCTCCCGTTCCTCCCGTGGCTCGATCCGGCGCTCAACCTTCAGAGAAGCCCTTGGCGGCCACTCCTCGTTCCCGCAGTTCCGGTCCCTCAATTGCTCGTAGTGGTCGCTGGCGCGGCTTGCTTGCTGGCGCCGGGCGGTCGTGTTGCGAAAGGGAATTTGCTGTGGCTGGTTTTGCTCTCGAAAAAATTGGTGCACAAGGTGGTGCTTCAAGACACCGAGGTCTACGCTCCTGCATCAAGATGGATACACTTAGTTTGAGGGCTGACCAAAGTAAGACCGCTCACCACGAAGTAGGAGACGACGTTCCGTGGCAAGCCATTCCGGCAGAGGAGAGACTTGTCATCACGTTCTGTGATGATCAGGATGCCGTATTGTCCACCAAAAAGCGCCTGCCATCGATCATTCGAAAATGAACTTATAAACGTCATCAAAATCGGCGTGAAATTCTGTGGCACTCACTTAGAATTCCTCGAACAACCCAAAAAAGGAACGATTCGGGTATTCTAGTTCAGAAAAAGTATTCTAGTTCAGAAAAAGTTTGGTGTTGATTGTCACGACTGTTTGCGGAAAGTCGCCAACGGCAAACGAAAACAAGTGGAAGCTTTAATCAAGAAATAAAGTAATCGTCTCCGCTTTTACTGTGTTTGTCAGAGCGTTTTATGCCCAAAGAGCGAAACACAAAAACCGCGTCACCAAACTCAGTTTGTGTATTTTGAAATGTTTTGTTGACCACTCCAGTCCCACTAGGAAACAAGTTTCCTTGTCCCCGTGTTCTGCCTCGTATCCGCCAGGTGGGACGGTGGACTCCGACAAACAAGCTGTCTGTGTCATCTGTCGCTGGTTGTCGTGTGTTGCTGTCATTTGTTGCTGTCTGTCGCTCTAGTGGGACACGGCTACTAGAAACCAAACAATCGTACAGATAAAACTTGTCAGTCCATTTTTAAGATTTATTTATACCAGTCCAGGCACATATTGTTACGGCATTTGGACAGAGAGCATTTCACTGCAATTAGTAGTTACAGGTTGATGCAATAGATGTCCTTTATTCTTGCGACTTCTCGCTCTCGACACCTGCTTGCTTGGGTTGTTAAGCCTCGCTTTCTTCAGGCAACAACAGTGGCGTTTCATGCGCGTCGGCAGCCTCATACACATTTCTGGCAGGGCTAGCATGGGTGCCGGCTATTGGCTCTGTCTCTTGAAATGCCAGAAAAGCTGCAAAGCCTTTTTTTAATGCTAGGCGAGGTTTCTAGGCGAATATGGACATCTCTCCAGGGGCCCTAATCTACACGGCAAACCAAGCGGGACGAAGGTACCACCACCTGCTGGGATCCGCCAGCTCCGCACCACTGGCCAATCACAGCAGGCGGCGATGTCTCGCTTCCTCCATCCTGCCGTGTAGATTAGGGCCCCTGCTCTCTTACTAGGCTGCTCACCCGATCTAATTGACTCCCCCCTTGCCATCAACAGTGCATCTTCAGCACTGTCGAAGACCTTGTCCTGTGTATGTTTATCCATGTTCTAAAATAATGCTGCATGCATGGCAGAGTTGGCAACGCACGCAGCTGCCATTCAGAAAAACAGAGTTTGAACTTTGAACCCTGCTTTGTCCAGTCGTTTCTTTCATCATTCTATGCTATTCTGGAAAGTTCCAGGCCATGCTTAGCTGTCATTGTGGGTTCTGGTTCGGAACATTCCAGAACATACCGCATGTATAAAAACAGCTCTAAGGCACTTGTTCAGGGCAGTCACCCTTCCGTCACCGATGCAGTATGATCAATATGTTCTGTTTTTCCATTAAATCATTATTTTCAATTTCACATCCACCTCCTATTTCTATTTGTGACAGTATTTCATCCCTGGTTGGAGTGTTTGTTTTAGCCATTCACTTACCGTCCGTGTGTTATCTTTCTCTTCCATGATTAACTGGTACTTGTGTTAAAATACTAGGGGTGTGTGAAGAGTGATTCGAATCGAATAGCACAGCGTCATCCAACTTCTGCACTGTTGAAAGAACCGGCAGTCTTGGCTTTCCCTTGCATTGTCAAGGCTATGAATGACGCAATGCTATTCAATTTGAACCACTATTCGCACAACCTTATAAAAAACCTTTCGATTCTGTTTTGTGAAGTACAGTTCCACCCTTCCAGGCCAACATTCCAACTGGTGCACAGTGATGCAGAGCAACTTGCGAACATGATCTCGTTCACCTCAACACTTGCTGAAAACATCAGCAGCAAGGTTCGGCAGCTTGATCTTGCCAAGGTGCAGTATACTGTATGCCCTTGTCATTGGGGTCTCGAATTATATGTGTATGGTAGTATCTACAGCAAATTACCACACATTCAGTTTAAAAATGTTGATTGCATTCAAACGTGACTGAAATTTGATTTATCACTCTTTTCTGACTACGGGGGAAATGCCTGTTTCATGTGACTTTTTACATTTTTTCCCCTGAGGAAGTTAAGGTTTACAATATGATGCCATCCATAGAAATTAAGCTAAATTAATGGGCTTTTGAGTGATTCAAACATAAGAGCAGAGACTTGAATTCTAATATAGTCAACTCTCATTAATTTAAACTCTCTTAATTCAAACTTGTGGATAATTCAAACTAACATGCAGGTCCATCCTATGCATCTCTATGGGAGGAAACTCCTGATAATTCAAACTTTGCTTTATTCAAACAAATTTTCGGCCCCCCTCGAGTTTGAATTAACGAGATTTGAAGTTACAATATTTAATTTTTCAAACACAATTGTTTTCCAAAGGTTGGTCCAAATCGAGTAAAAATATGGCTATATCTTGAAAGAAAGAAAGGGCCCAAAAAATGTAAATATATTAAATGTTCCTCATTTTCACAACAAAAAACTATGCAAAAACAAGTTCTAGTAAAAAAAAATTTAAACACTTAGTATGCAACCTCTAAGGTGAAACACAGCGACAGCTGAGGTGTGACTTCGGAGCAGCTAAGGTGTCATTTCGGAGCAGATGGACTGAATGAACGGTACAGGTGCGAGCGCACGCCATAGAGTCCGCATAGGCGTTTCGTATTAAACCAAGTAGCACACCGAACGAAAATTCCATAGCGTTTTGGAACCAATGAGCGTGTATTAAGTAGAGAGCATTTCAGCTGTCTGCATAAGAGGGGAACGTGTTTTCATACGTTGCTCTGGTACAGAGTCGCACATGCTAAACGAAAAGCGCCGAATAAATAGGGACAAGGAAGTAGACAAAGTACAAATGAAGGTTTATTGAAACAATCACTATTAATACCTTGTTTTTTTTTGGCTATTCATTTAGAAAATAAAACTCTGTATCTGTCAAGTGCATTGACAGGGCACTAATGCACTTGCTTTCCCCTTGCTTTCTGATACAGAATTCATCGTAAAATGCTAAGGCAGTTTTATTTGTATCTCCTGAGATTTGTTGTTTGCGCTAATTCTAGGTCATATGGGCAGCTATCCCAGTGCACTGCCATTATGCCCGGCAGGACTGTTTTACTGACCATGCATGTTATCTTGCTACTATGCATTACCATGCATGTTATCTTGCTTGCTTGTTATCTTGTTTTCAGCAGCCTGTGTAATGTTTTGGGAGAGTGCCGAGAATACCCGCGTCAATATGGAAAGCGGTCGACGGCGTGAAATCGCAAAATGTCCCACTGACAGCTATCGCTGTAAAAGATTTTCATCGACCAAAAATCAAGTGAACCCTCATGACTGACAGGCCATTGGGCTAAGCAGTTTCTTAATGTAGTGAAGCACAAGTCATCGTAACTAAAGTATGATAATCTGGCTTCATCATCAGGCCCACTACTGCTCTCCGAGTCCAAAAAATCAATGAAGGATTTGCAAGAATTGTCATGGTTGCGAGTGCATGCCGGACCGGTGGAAGCGGTCATGGCTGTCACAAACGACGACGCGTCGTCGGCTTCACATTTGGCTTGAAAATTGCTGCCACGTAGAAAGGGGAAGAGAAACACAGAAACCGAAACTGTAGTCTTCAAGCTACCTACAGAATGGTGCAATGAGCATGACAGCTTTGCAAGAGTTTTGAAATGGCCCCCTGTGCCCATCAATCTCGGGTGATTGACATTCTATGGGTGTGGTTGGGAAAGGGTTAAAGGTCCTCAACTTCCCTGTAACAGCAGTCGCTAGATGAAGTTCTGAATATTGTTTTTTTTTGTTGTTTTTCTTTCAGAGTCGAGTGACTGAGTGTGTGCAGCGAGTCGAAGACATTCTGGATCTGAAGTTCTGTACTGATGGCGTGCAAACTGCCTTGCAAAATGAAGATTATGAACAGGTATGTGGGTGTTTCGAATTGCTTCTTGGGAGAATTATGTAGGAAGTGTTTCTGCTGGTGTCGTGCAAAGACAAGTGCTTCGTTTGCCCTGGGTCAAATAAATTTTAGTGTGGGCTCTTGCTGCTTGGCTTTCCCATAACGAGTCTAGTATGATGTTCCTTCTTAGCTACGTCTTGAAAGAGAGTCCGTCCCTCGCAAGCTGGAATTTGGATAAAAAAGGAGGCTAACTTTCAGTGTATAGGCCCAAATACCATGTAAACCAATACTGGCAACTCCCGCGGAGTGCGGGTGAAAAGTAATCGCAGCGCCCCTGGCGAGCTCGGAGTCTCTGCTAGCAGTCGAATTCTCCGCAACGCATTGGTTTTGCCTCTCTCCGTACGAGGTGACCAATGAAAAAAAATTGTCACGGGTATTTGCTGCTTTGAATGTTAAAAAATAGGTGCAACCTCATGAGTGAAGGACATTTTCTTCGCGTGGGGAAGATGTTACAGCTTTTAGGGCACTCTGTCAGAACTTAACGTAAGCCAGTCAAAACTTGAATGTACCATCGCCCTGTTTCTTGAAAAAGGGCAATGTAAAAAAATCTTCAGAACATAGCTACGTTTCAACTTTACTGTTCTTTTCAATCAATTCGTTTCGTTGTTGCAATTCCAATTTCTCATGAATGTATTGCTTAAAACCGTTTCGTCGAATAGGCGAGCTGGCTAATCCCGATCGTCTCCGGATAAAGAAGCAAAAGGCAATTTTGAACCACGTACGCTACTGCGATATCAGTATGCTCTGGAAGGAGTCGATTGTGCACATGAAAATCCGACGCTATTACTAAAACTACTAAAAGCGGAGTTACAAAAAAAAAAAAAAAAAGACACGGTCGTGCTTTTTTTTCTATTTTTCAGTTTACTTTCTTTTTTATCCTGAGTCGATGCTTCGCTGCCGCGGTCTTTCCTCCTCCAGCGTTAATGTTTTTTGTTTGCTTTTTTCCTTTCTTTTGTTTACTTAACGTTCGAACCATTGCATATTTTGCTTTGCCTTGTTTGGCTTAGTTTTTACTCTCTTTCCTTCGCTTCGTCGCTTACTACCACCAGTTCGTCTGCTCCGCTATGCCCAGTCATCTGCAGGGCCTCTGCAACTTTGTTGTTAGTATTTTTTTTTTTTCATTGTCTTCTGTGATAACCTCCTATGTTCGCCTTCTTTTGAGTGTCTGATCCGAAATCTCCATATGTACTTTCTGATGCTTAATAAGTATATTAAAAAAGTGTAAGCTCGTTATACACTTCTATTCGGATTTTATTTGAGTATATGCGGTCACGTCTGCTATGGGTCATCGTTGGTTGATGAGCCGGCCGCCTTTGGGCATACACCAGCGCGTACTTGGAGATGGCAGGCATGCCATGTGCTGCTTACCACTGCAAAAACAAGTTTCTGTGATGCAGTGAAAAATCCTTCTTCCGCTTCCCGAAGACCGAACAAACATGAGTAATTAAGTTACTTCAAATTAAACTGGAAGAACTATCCAAGTCTGGCTTCAAAATCGCCACTGACGCCTCAACAGACGAATATTTCACCAAACAAAAGTTCAGCTGAAAACGCACTTGAGGCCGCTGATCGACACTCAAAACAAGGCACGGTGTGCAAACATTGCCTGGAGATCTATGTAAACAAGGACTTGAATGTACTTTTGAACAGCTTCGCCAAACGAGTAAACAAAAAAACCTGAATATGTCTATGAAAAGTAATGCGAAAGCAAAAAAAGCTCACACACTGCTAGCATGAAGCAGATGGCAGCGTGCGACTCTTATTTACCGGGTAGTGTGAGCTGGGGGACTATGTTTTTTCTTCCCTCTGTTTTGTTCTTAGTTCCTACCAACGCCACGAAAGCAAATAAACAAATGTGTAACAAGCAGCTAAAAAAAAAAGTAAAGCTCTTTTTTTTTTAATAGTTTCGTCGTGTTGCTTTCGTTTTGTTTGTTGTGGACTCAACACCAACGGCGAGTACCACCTGCTAATTTTCAATGCTCCTACGACGTTCGACGTTCCGTGCGACCGTCGTCGTTGAAGGAGATCTTTGATGGGTGATTTGTATCTTTGTATCATCTGCTAACGTTTTTTGTTTCTTTCGCCGTTGTTCGCGACTGTTCCCCATTTCTTTTTATTTTCGTCTGGAATGCGGACCCCATCTTTTCCGCAAAGTTCGGAAAGCGTTGCACCGTCATTTTTCTCGTTAATTTTTGTTTTTGTAAAGCTGCAGAGGCTTGTGCGCTTGCATTGATAAATTTAACATGTTGATTGCGCACGCTTTAATAATCACCTATTCAGGTAAGAAATTGTGACAACACGCAGTTTGTAACGGATAAACAGTAACTTTTTATGACGTAGTTCGAGTAGCTAAACGCCTTTTTTCCGCTTCCCAGGTGCGCTTCAAACGCGTGTGATCCCCCTGAGTGGCGTCTGAGACCTCCAAATAAACTGCTCTATTTTTGTTTCTGCGCGCATTGATATTTGATTGTCGTTGCAGTTGCGATCAGTGAATTCCACTTTGCAAGCGGACTGACCGTAATGAATTGTTTCTGCTGTTGAGGTGATGAAACGGGGCACACAAAGCTCGAGGACGTCGTGGAGCCTATACTTTTCCATTGCATCGTCTGCTCCCGTAGACTCCGAGTCCGCTAGAGGCGCCACTGTCGCATTCGCCGCCGCTCCCATAGGTTTTTTGAGGAGTTTCCAGTATTGGCGAAGCTATATCATATTTGGTAGCCCAGCGGTCTCAAACCTATTCGAGCAAGGGGGCCAGGTTTCCCACCCCCGAAATGTCGAGGGCAAACGTATGCAGCGGGAGCAATAGCAAACAGTGCATACGGTATATCTTTAGACAAAAAAAAAAAAAAAGTGTTGATGGCGTTTTACATTTCAAAGCCGCCGAGTCTCAAAGCACCACCCCAGAGGTTTCATAGGCAAGGGACCTGATGCTCGTAGCATTTTGTAAAATTGCCGTTTTGCCAGTGACATGTTTAGCTTTGATTTGTTCATGACTACTTTAAGCCAATCAATAGCTGATATGATAACATGCTTTAAAATGCTGCCATCCGATCAGTGTGCATCAGCGTCCAACCAGTGTGAACAAGAGAGTGAGGACACTGTCGTTGCCCAATTGCTGAATTCACTCGAAAATAAAGCTTGAAATATCAAAAAAGAAAAAAAGAATTTTCATACAGCAGTTTTGGTTTTTCTGGAGATTTTTGTAGCAGCAATATAAAAAAAAATACAGTTTTAATGATGTGTAAGACGAAAGAATCCTCAATCTAACAGAAAACAGAGTAGTGTGAAATATGTGAACCAGCGGGGGAGGCTTATGGACCTTCAGAAGGAAGGCTTATAGGGCTTCACCCCCCCCGCCCCCCAAAATCCAGTCGACCCTACAATATACACATGCATTTTTCCAATATCAAATGTTTGATTTCAGTTTAGGTTTTGTTCTGATTTGGTCAAAAATAACAATTTCTATCCTATTTTCTTTTGGGGTTTATTTGACACCCTGGATTTGATGTGCACTTTCCTCACTGGGCTGTTTTGACGTTGGGCTGTTTAGTGCTGTGCTCTTTTTGTTGCTGTGTTGTTTTGACCTGTGCTGTCCGGTCGTGGTACCCTCGACTCTGCCCAAGTAAGAACTGCAGCTTTGCAGCTGCATAGCGCAAGTCATCACTACTAATTTCTCTGCACTCTTTCATGTTGTTGTTACATCCTCATTTTGGCTTAGATAGCAGTTCTCGCAGGGTGGTCAAAAGTTTTGAAGTGTTTATCAAAATCCGCATCTATCCATAAATCGTGGAGGGTGCTAATTTGTAAGTATGATCATTCATCCTGAACTTTGGGTATGTGTTAACCATTTTGGTAATTTTACACAAATGAAAATTTCAGGCTGCAGCACACATCCACAGGTTCCTAAGCCTTGATGAGTCTGTGCTGAAGAGATCCACTGCAGACATCCAAGAAGGTGGGTGGTAGTTTGGTTCCTTTGGGTCCATTGAAAGAAGGTCTAGAACCCGTTGTTTTAGGGGGGAACACTGGTCTTGGAGCTTTTTTTTTTTTATTCTATGACCAAACCCATTGAAACTGCATAAGCTTGTTTAGCTTTTTTTGCTGATTTCATATATCTGGTCGTTTTCTCAGTAAGGAGAGTTGTCCTCAAGGTAATTAAAACTTGCCTGCCTTTGTTTGGAGGAACGATAGAAAAAAAACGGCTCAACAAAATATCCTTTTTAACACATGGCTAGATACTACAATGTGCAGAGCATACAATGTTGGAGTACTTTTAAGATAAACCCACTATTAGTGATTTTACCACACATTGAAGTTCAGTGCTCAATGCATGGCTAACAAGTAATAAGACAAAAGATCAAATAGAAATTTTTTTAGACTTTTATTAGAAAATCTGCTCTCAACATTGTATGCTTCACAGATTTTTTATGCTGTTTGATCTCTGGAGCCTTCGAGTGTACATGTGACTGCATGCCATTTAGGAAGCAGCTTGGAAGAGGCTTTTTCTTCGTTACGAGAAGCTGAGAATAAGCTTCGACGCATTGTGATGAAGAAGTTCAGTGAAGCGGTCAATGAAGGGGACATTGCATCTGTGGAGCGGTTCTTCAAGATCTTCCCACTTTTGAACCAGCACGATGAAGGACTACACAAGTTTTCCCTCTATCTCAGTGCACAGGTCAGAAAATTAATATTTTGTTTAGTATATGGCTTTTGTATATTTTCTCTACCTGGCTGTAAACTGATGAGAAAATATACTTTTGTAAATATGATACAAGGGCTTTCTTTGGGGGTGGCTAAATAGATGTCCGAGTACCTCTGTGTGTGCAAGTTAGCAAGTATGTCTTTGTCTGCACTTTTCCATTTTCTAACAGATCTCCGAAACAGCTCACAAAAACTTGAAGCAAGCTCAAGCGACAAGTACCTCAGACAAGAGAGCCAACATCATTTATGCTGACACAGTTACACTTCTTTTTGAGGGCATTGCAAGAACTGTCGAGATACATCAACCCTTAGTGGAGACGTATTATGGTAATTTTTGTTTGTTTTTCGAAAGAACCTCTATTCAGAATTTACTTTTTGATCTAAAGTCAATAATGCTGTTACTTCTGGTTTTAGGCCATGGCAGGCTTCACACCATGGTGGAAATGTTGCAGAAGGAGTGTGACTGTCAAGTGAAGAAGATTTTAGAAGACTTCAAAAAGAACAAACAGTTTAAAAAGAAGGTATTTATATGTTTTGTGCTGCTCCCAGAGATATATAGTTTTGTCTAAATGCTCTCTGAGTGTGCTTTAATCTTCAAATAGATAGAACCTTTCATCCTCAATAAAATTTGGTTATACTAAACAAAATTAATTCCAGTCTATTCTTGATAATCCAGAGCTCATGGAGACCATGAAATGCTTCAAAGTGAACTTCGAAATTAGAAAAACGCACTCAAACCGTGATTTTGTTTTTTTATTCAATACTCACTTGGGTGTGGTTGCCGATTTTTGTTTGCCTCTGCTAGTGGAGATGAACCACAGTAACTGTGTTCGGCAAATTGCACATCCTTCTTAAAGGCCGGCGTACACTTGGCACTTCCCACTTTTGCCTGCCTCCTCCTTTCCTATATCCACTCAACTGTTTACCAAGTGACATTTCTATAATATTTAATAACTGTATTCGTAAAACATTTTTTTCACGCAATTGGGAACGCACTACACTCTTTTGAAACATTGAAAATCAAATTCCAGAAATGATGTCACCCCCTGGCTTTTTATTTTCCCTCTGAAAGCATGGCGGCACTCGGCACATGTAGCACTGAGGATGATCAAGGAGTTGCGGAATCGCACACAGTTCTCTTTTTGATGCCCGACGACTTCTCAAACTTCGGAAAGGAAATCGTCAAACGGTCAAAACAACTGGGTTTGGTGCCTGTGCACCGTAGTTTCGGTTCGGTTGTGACTCCGCCGGGACAGCCTTTCACACAGCACCAGCACAACATGGCCCCTCGTGTCGCTCACAAAAGTCCACTGCACGTCCTCCTCGACCTCGCACGTTTTCAAAGAATTTGAGATTGCTGAAAGGACGCTAAAAGGAACTTCAAACTCGAAAGTGAAGCGTCATCTGCTCACAGCAATAGGCGGCACGTACAGAGAGGCAAGAGGCACACTTGATCACTGGATGCGGGAGAACACGACACTTCCGGTCGGGACAGTTGTAAGGCGGAAGAGAAACTCGAGTTACAGGATAACTCAATCTCTGACGTCACTGCACTGTCGCAGATCGCGCAAGAACTTCAAATTCGGTTTTTAAAAATTGTATTTTTTTTTTTTTTTTTTGCTTCACAAATACTGAGTTTTCAAGCTTAGAATTTTGAGGATAATGTACAGGCATAGCTTTCAATCATTTCGGAAAATTTAAAAAAATATGATTTTGACCTGTCAGTGCCCCTTTAGCTTGTTCAGCATAATTGCGAGGGTGGACTTTTGAAGTATACAAAAAATATTTCTCAAATTAACCAGAGCCAGAGGAAAAAGCTTCGAAATACTTCCTGTTTTCTCTCGTAGACTTTGTATGATTGAGTGTATGATTGTATGAGTGTATGATTGCCGGGCTTCAAACTTCAGTTTAATAAATTGAGTTTGAATTGCCGAGAGTCAACTGTATCACCAGAAAAAGTTAAATTTATTACAAAGACTTGCGCTACTTGCTTCGAATTTGAAAGTTTCAATATTTATGTGCAACTAGTTTTAACCTGAGAGGAGTGGCATAGCTTGTAGTTATTTTATAGCAAACAAGGCTGCAGCCATCTGTGAAGAAATGTTGTACTGACACTGACATATGATGAAGAGGTAGTTCAGTTGCATAAACATGCTAATATTTTACAAGTTCAAGACTTTTGAAAAGAGAAAAAAGGGACCTATCTACGAATTACATGATGCTTTAAAAGGAACATCTAGGGCCGGTTGAGTTTTTTCAAATTGTGCCACTAATTGTCATAATAGGTGATGCATGCATGTGTACTGTATTTTTTATTGACTCTTACTGCCAAATGGAAGAGTCAGTATGATGAGGTATTTTTGACTTCTAAATGGAAGGTAATAATACCTCCATGCAATCTGCTTAGAGGACAGCATCTGATTAAACAATAAGTGTGGTCTAGTTTGCTTTTTTATTCTTTCGGAAAGCTTGCTAATTTCACTGTGATGCATTCAGTGCCATGCCAAACAGTGACATGTCCTGTGTCGCACAGAGAATTGGTTATCTTTGCTTAATCACAGGCATTTAACCATGATCCTGACATCAAAACATTACATCTGACTGCAACTTATAGATTGGATATGAGAACTTGGTTATTCCTAACCTTTCACTTGGATAAATCAATGCTTTGGTAAATGTTTGGGTTTTTGACTATTTAGTGCATTGATGGTAATCTCCAAAATGATGTGTGGGGCTTGGCACCCACTCTGAGCATCACCAGTCCCGGAGTGAGGCTCTAAAAAGCACTGCTGTCACAAATAGACATTCTGACCACTTGTCCTGGCCATGAATTGAGGAGTTCAATGCTGCCGTATGTATATTATATTGTATATTATGAACAAGAAGGATTCATTCTAAACATGGTTAAGATTAAAGCGCACAAGAAACGAGGACAGGAGGGAAGAAACACACACCACGGACCAGCGCTTTCACTAAGCAGTGTTTTCACAGTCTTTCACTAAACAGTGTTTAGTGAAAGACAAAGAATTATGTAGTAGTTTAATTATTTCCTGGACCCACTAACCTGGCATGAATTGCACTGTGTGCAATTAATGTCGGTATCTATAACACTTTGTGTTGCAGAATAGCATTAAGATAGTAATTTGTAATAATAAATGTATATATATATATATATATATATATTTCCTTTTTTTTATTACAGGCACAGCAAATTCGTGCACTTCTGTGCAGTTCCAAGCAGGCCGACAAGTAAGCTCTTTCCCGCAATGTGTAAGCTCATGTTGTGTGGTACAGATTTTAAAACAACATAAATTGGTGTTCGACAGGCTCGATCCACGGGATCTTGATGTGCTCCTTGCAGAAGTGGCATTGCTAAACAGCCGTGCAGAACTCTACATTCGATTTATTGGGAGGAGGGTGGCGGTGAGTGAAGAATTGTTCATTACACCTTAGCATCATGTTTCAGCATCTTCTGCTAGACATTTGTTAGCATTTGCTGTCTTGACAGCTATGGGCACGGTGAATAGAACAGATGTGTAACCTGATTATGGCATTCTTGATTTCCCCAGAGTGACTTTGAGGTGGCCTACCAGGAACCCGCTGTTCGGGCTGGTAAGCATCAAGCTGGTTATTTCTCGGAAGCCCTTGTAACTGGCATCTGTCACAATGTGTGCTAAACTTACTCTTCCTTCTCATTGTTTATAGAGTGATAATGTGAGGGATGTGATATCTTGCAGATAAAATACAGCAGTTTAACAGGAAAATCAAGGACAGTGAGCTCTGCAAGTGTATGCAAGAAATTGTCAGCTCCTACATCATGATGGAAGAATACTTTCTTCTGGAGTCTGTTAGAAAAGTAAGTTTTATTCATAATTTCAAAACCCTCAGACAGAGGAAAACCTTGTGAAAAAGACAGGCACATAGAAGCAAGTCTCAAACACAGCGAAAGGTCTATGCTCCGATGTGACTTTCTTCGTTATCTATTAGCAAGTGCCAAGATGCATTCCTTTTGCTCGGGCCACGCCCCACGCGCTGTTCCTAATCGTGCTGGTGACATGTTCGCCGGGCTCACAGCTCTCATCCGATCTCTTATAATTAGAGGTGTGCGAATATCAAAATCTTTCGAAGCGAATTGAATCGAATAATGAAGGTTACGAATCGAATCGAATCAAATATTTTTGAATACGAATAGTAGTTTCAAATAAGGAGATATTTGAAAACAAATATTTTCTATTTGATGTGAATTCAACAAGAATGCTTAATAAAAAACACAACTGGATTTTTTTTTCAACAAACGTTTATGAAAAGGTTACTTTTATTGCAATAAGAAAAATGTCACACGTGTGACTGTTAAAAAAAAACAGATGAAAAAAAGATCAGTCAGTAAAACACCATTCCTTGAGTGAGGTTAGAGAACGTAAATGAAAGTGCAAAAGTGAAGGCGGGTCGGCAACCAACAACGCAGTCGGAGATCGCATCGCAGACGAAAGGAGGCACTTGAGCGTAAACGCAAGTACACAAGCGGTGGCGGGTCCGCAAGCCGCAATACAAAGTCGATGATTGCGTCTCTACTTTGTGCGATCTCTTTTTACGCTCGTGAACGCAACCACGTGAACGTAAACGGAAGTACACAAGCGGAGGCGGGTCGACAGGCCACAGCAGAGTTTCAGATTGCACGATCGAGCTGCGCAACCGCACTGACTATGCGCCATCTCTTTCCGTGTGCAATAGTTCTGTCCATAGAGGGCGCCACAAAGATGCAATAAATTAAGAATATGTTGTTTTTTTTTGGCGGGGGGAGGGGTGGGGGGGGATGTCTCACTTTTACCAGTGAAAACGGGTAGAAATAAATAACAAAAGGAATACTGGCAAACTGATGAACCGGAAAATCAAGCGGAAAATAACACAAGCCAGATATCACCGATAGCCGAGGTAAGCCATAAATCCATATCCGAACCCATAGCACCTTGGCTACTGTAGTCACTAGGGGTGTCGCGAACCAGCCGAGGTTCGAGTTCGACCAGGTTCGACTTTTTCGAACTTTTGGTGAAAAATTCGACGAACCTTGTATTGAGGTTCGACTCGTGTGTGCATGCGCGACAGGCTGGCCAGTTGGCTTCGGATTGGATGGTGATGGCTAAGGGATGAATTTAAGGCAGCGCTGATTGGTTATTTCAGTTAATACAGTACAAAAAATTAAGTCATTAACTTCTTTAGTGATTAGAATTAGTTTCTTTTAATCGCAACTGTTTATAAAATAAAATAACCCTTTTCATAAAAAAAAAATTCTCCAAACTTAGACATGCTTGTGTCAAGGTCTGGCCACACTGTCCACAAAGTCGAACCGGTCGGATCTGGTGAAAAGTTTCGAAGGTTCGTCAAAGTTCGACCTAAAATTCTGGTTCGACAAAAGTTCGCGACACCCCTAGTAGTCACTGTAGGTACGAAATCACGAATATGGGGTTGTGCTACATTAAAAATGAATGTGGACAGGAACGTATACAAGACGTCTCGGGCGGACGCCCGAAACGTCGTGCGGTCTGTCGCGACGATGCATGTGCCGTTGCAAATCGTAGTCCTTCATCCTATCTATCGCAGAGTTTGCGCCACGACCACTTAGCCAACTCTGCAATCCGGACATCACGGCAAGCAAAGGACAGATCGCGCTACCGCCGTGCAAATAACTTTCCAATCCTTCGTACAAAAAAAAAAAAGACACTTAGGTTGGTTGTGTAGGTTTGCCAAGCTTGAAACCATACTGCGCAGTCCAAAAACAAAAAAAAGAACTCGACCGCAAGTTGACACTAATCAATGAGTTCCGCATTATTCGTAGTTTTCGAAGTATTCGAAGAACTCGAATAGTTCGAACAGCGAAAGGGCGAAGCGAATCGAATTGAATAGCAAGCATTATTCGCGAAGTATTCGAAGTTTCGAATATTCGCACACCCCTACTTATAATCTTTCATTGTGCATAATTCGTAAGTGGTACTATATCACCATGTTACAGTTTATTACCCGAACCACGTGTTAAATAGTGGAACCCCTCTCCTTCTGTCCCCAAGGCATATTTTAGTTATGCAGAACTATGTTTTTGAACTCACATTTAGGTCATATACCTATCCTTAAAATTTTACTCACATCTTTACTTTTAATTGAAAATCACATCTCCTGTCTCAGTGACTCCAGGGTTTTAATATGCTGACCTCCAGATTATGACAGAAGCGACTATACTTAGTGGTCTGTAAGTTCATGGTGCAGTGAACTTATCAGCATCTTGGTATAGTATGTTGTGAAAGCTTTGTTGTCCTGGATTAACCTTCAATCCTGCACTGGGGCGTCCTTCATTGTTGTTTTGCTTTCGGGCATTGATAAACTCGTGTAGATTTTCCTCACCTTTTTTTATGTAGAATCATCCAGAGAAAAAGTGGGCATTTGCTTTTCAATTAAATATTTAGATCTCTAAATATCATATGAAGGAATAATAGAGTTGTATAGATATACCACAGAGTGCAACCTGTGGCAGATGTTATGCCCCCACATGGGGCATCAACTCTGAAAAAGAAAAAAAAAAAACTTCCAAGCACAAATCACTACTTCTTGTGACTTCAGATTTTGGCACAATCTTTGTTGTGCTTCAATAAATGTTTGATTAATGACATTCGTAAAATTTTATTTAAATGTCTGAATTGTTTTGCAGGCTATTGAAGTGGATACCATTGAGGAGAACTCACCCTGCTCAAGCATGTTAGATGATGTATTTTTCATTCTCAAGAAATGTCTCAAGTAAGACATCATTCATATGCCTACTTCATTCAGCTGGGGGAGCAACAAAGCTCTGTTGACAGGACTGTTCTTCGTTGGAGGTCACTAGGGCTTGTTTTGCTGGCGACTTTTGGCGCTTCCTGTACACCTTTTCTGCAAGGCAGCTATAGACCTTTTCATTTCAGTAGTTGCCCGACTGGCGGGTAGAGGGCGCTGGCGCACTCCGCGCCATTAGGTTGCTTCAATTTGGTCGGTTTCGGTTTCAACGTACACGCGATTGTGATGCTGTTTCATGCCACTTTCGATTAATTTTGCGATATGAATATTTCTTTCTAGTAGCACACAGCGAATGAAACAATAGTATTGAGCCACTTGGCAAACCACGAAGTGGTTTCGAGCCTAAATTGCGATTTTTTTTTACTAACACTATATGCGTCTGATTCTGTCCATCATTAATTTCGGCCAGGTTCGGCGGTGAAACAACTGCGCGGATGCACAGTGAAAAGTACCATTGTCCACGGCCGTATCCGCGGACAGTAATTTCAAGAAGAAAAAAAAGATAAAGAGCAGGACAAGCTCCGCCTGCAGCGTGCGCTCGTTGCCTGCCGCCGTGCTTTGGCTGTGCGTGCACCGAGCGGTACGGAAGTAGATAGCTCGCGCTCAAGTCAGATAATGAGCTGATCATCTTATATTGCAGCAGACTATATTGCATGAGTGCTTAGTGAAAAAGCAGGTCGACAACATGATTAACAATCTGCTGAATCATCAAGAACAGATGAACTGACAAGTTTACTGTTCGATGTTTGGTTTCCGTACACCAAACTTTTCTAACTTCCAGACTGGAAACGTCTTTTATAATAACTAGGAAAGTTTAATATAACCACGTAGATAATATAAAAAAGTGATATTGTCTCGGCCTGCTTTATTTAAAAAAATTAAGTGCTCGAGAAATATTTTGATAGACCAGCGTAGTAGGCTGACTAGAAAATTTCTTTGACTAAAGTACTCATTTACAGCATTTCAAAATATTGACCTTATAAAATAAACTTTTTGTTATATGGACATTTGCTTGCGACGTTCTCAAGGTATGAGAATGGTAAGATAAGTGAATGCCAGACTTCAAATAAAGTCTGATATTCACCTTCCGTAAAATTTTCCGACTCAAATTGAAGAGCGCAAAAGAAATGAACTCCAATAAGTTAGGCTGAAATCGAACGCCAGGCGCCACCCAATGGACCTGTGTAGAAAGCTGTTCACTGATTTGAAACGATGCGCTTTGCACATTTGGACGTTGCCATCTACTGAAAGTACCTCCCTATTGGAAGTCGACAACCGGCTGCACTCGGGTGGTTTTCATGCAGAAGGATTCTTTTCGGCGTCACATTTTATGAGTCATAGGCACTATCAAGCTGTCTGTGGCAGTTTTTTACGCGGGGTGTTCAAATATTTGCGTTGAAAAAAAATTAATTGAAACTGCATGGTTATATTAAAAAATGACTTAAGCAACTGAAAAACTATGGACATGGGACCAAGCACGATATACAATTCCGTGGAATTCATAAATAAACCGATAAAGCGAATGCTTATATCACACACGCGATTAAGAACGTAAAACAGATATAGGTGTGATATTGCGAACAAACAAGTTGCCTAATGTTAAGGTACCTTCATTTCGAGCATAAAAAATAATTCAACCAAAATGTTTGTTCCCGCGCCTTGTTCACTAGTTCCCTGGTGTAAACAAAAGAAACTGTTTTCGATCTGTTGGAACTACAAATCACCATGTTTTCAGGAAAAACATGTGGTTAATTTCGCTGAGTGTTTTTGTTTTCTTCCTTGACACCAATGCGCACTCATATATAATAACATTGGGCTTCCCATTGCAAATGTTCCACCCTTATTAGTAACCAAACCTCAGTTCTTATAAGTTATCGGTATTTGAAACCTCGAGGTTCTCTTCCAGTCATATATGTATTCAATGTGCGCAGGTGCTAACGCTGATTCCGGTTCCTATAAAACCTTTTCACACGTATCCCGCACGCCGACGGTAAAAAATATTCAAAACGTGTTACAAAATTAACTACAGAAGTTGGCCGCAAAATGATGTAATGCAATTGCATGGTAGGTATAAGTATCGGACGACACTTTACGGAGTAAGGCAAGAGACGCGGTGAAACGCGACGAAAAACACGAATTCAACGCATCCGCCAAGGCGCGGACGGGAGAGCGGAGCAACAAGTTGAAGCAACCTAATGGCGGCCGCATCACGTGATTCCAAGATGGCAGCGCCCATGCGGTGGAGGGTGAAAAGGTCTATAAGACCAAGGGGCCCTGCAAGGACTTTTTTACTGGTTTTTAGTTAGCACCAAACCTGAGCGCACTGAACGTAGTAACTTAATGAAACTGATCTTTTCTCGAATTTCGCTTTATTTAACAGTTATGGGCAAATTAAAATTATAGAAACAAGCAAAAAATAACCTGCTTCATGACGTCCTTGTTGCTTGAGTGGCCGTGAACTAGAGGAGGGGTAGTGAGCTCAGCGAGTGCTCACTGATACCGCACTACGTGTCGACGGCTCGAGCGGGTGCAACTAAAGCATGTCCTGGTTAGGCTGTATGAAGCGGGCAGCCAGGGTGGCTCGCATGGCATTTGCTGCGCAATTAAACACTAATTTGGCATGACGCTTCATTGGCCACAAACAACAGCAAACACGGCGTAAAGATCAGTTCAGAACGGGAGCCACTTCGCGCTGCCATACCGCCAAAGAACCAAACCGTAAGCCAAAGCTGCTCGCCGAAGGCCTTCGGAACGCTCATAACCGGTCGAATCGTCGACTGCAGCGTCGCCGCGTACATCCGGGACCTTTCTACGCTCGCCGCTCGTCGGTGCCTGATCCCACTACACCTTTCTAGTATGTGCTGCCTTTTCCACCGCTTGGTGGCGGGTATGTCGACAGCAGGGTTGGGCAGTATCGCGATACAAATGTATCGCGATAGTATTTCAGAAATACATTTCGCATCTGTATTTCTGTATCGCGATACATTTTTTTCACCGGTATCTGTATTCCTGTATCGAAATACATTTTGAAGGTTTCTTTGTATCGCGATACAATATAGATGAAATGTATTTCGTTACATTTCTTTAGAAATACTCCCCCCCCCCCCCAAAAAAAAAAAAAAAATTTATTTTTGAGGGCGCGAGGGTCAAGGAGATACTGGGGCATTGTGACTATGCTGACCAAGGTTCCTTTCGATTCTCCAAACTATTTTTCTATGCGTGCTCTTCTCTCTTCTGAGAAGTGTTGCGTAGTCGGGAACTCGAACCAGGTGGCGTGCCACTAGTGGAGTCAGATTATCTTCTGCCACAGGTTTTTAGGTAGGGATTTCTTGAGTCATTGTTTGCTGGCATCCAACGCCCGCTGCTAACCGTCTCTCTTGCCTCAGCGTACACAATACACCCAGCCAGCAAAGCTGAGTCACAGTCCGTTGCAGCACGAGCCTGGCGGTGGTCATCTTCAAATAGTAGGATGACTCACGCAGTGAAGTTCAACACTTATACGAATGCATCTGCGGCTGCGCCCGTAATATTGCACGGCTCAAGGGTACGCTATCAGTCGACGTGAACATGACCCGCTGCTATGGTGATCCGAAACCCAGGAAGGAGACCAGACGTGGCCTCCCTGTTCCGACCCAGACTTCGTACACCTGCGACTCGTCTCAAGCGCGCTGTTTCTCGGAGAGCTCGCACCTGTACCAGCAATATCAGGTCGCAATCCACGAGGTCTCTGTTTGGATGATGCTAGGCGAAACTCGAGGATTGCAATTCATGCGTCGGCGGTGGAGGGTCGGCAGGAAGGACCTTCACAACGGAGATGCCACCGTATGTTTTTTTCAACCGTAACAGAAGACAAGACGTGGGTTCCAGAATGCATCAGGTGGTCCACTATTCTCAAAAATTCCAAATGGCACTGTCTGCACGATTTTCAACGAGGTAACTTCCAACGAAAGTATGTTTTGTCCTTTCATATACAGCAGCGTGGTAAAGTTTCATGCAGGGACTCAAACCGAAAAATATAGCGTTTCGGTTACGGTTACGGTTACCGCTTCCTGTTGATAACGGTTTCGTTTCGGTTTTTTACGGTTTTAATTTTTACGGTTTCGGTTACCGGTTACACGTTCATAAAAACCGGTTTATTTCGGTTTTTCCAATAATTTGTCTAATTGAAATGCTAGACAGCCATTTTAGAAAAAACTGTTTAAAGTAGTCTCAGATATCCAATAACGTGAAATACAAGGAACCTAGAAACGTCTTAATACTTCTAATTGGTCAGAAGTTGCACACGTTCCTAGCTCCAACTCTTGTTCACTACATCTACTTACATTATTTAGTTTGATGCCCGAGCATACATGTTACTTCTAGTACTCGGGGATCATCGCGTTCTATATAATAAAAATTAAAATAAACACCGCTACTCTGTTGTTTGGCACCATTTATAAACAATTACCCTAAGAAAGTTCCCACGTGATGCTGGAAGAACCATTCGCACTTTCTCGTCGCTACAGTTGATTTCAACCTCATACATGCAGGCGAGTCTTCGCTTCACTGAAGGAAGGAACAGAACTACAGCCATCCACTAGTAAAATACTGCTAAGTGGAATGAAGTAATAAAATTGAGAGCTGGGCTGGGCGGGCCGTGAGGCAAGAAGCCTTCGTGCAGCGAATGGAAAGTCCGCCGTAGTCGGGCGGCCCGTGAAAACTACTTGCCTCACTAAACACTGCCCAGTCGACTTCAGGTGCCTGCTGGGTCGAGTGGACTGGCGGTGTAGGTCCCGTCGCTTTTGACTTGTAGGCAGTGCTACCCAGGTCCGACTGAGAGTCTTCGACGACGCTTTGTTTGTCTGTAGTGTGTTCCTTTGTGTTGGTGTGGTTTTCCTCCTTGCCATCGTACGTGTCGAAGGAGCCGTCATCGGCGTGGGGTTCAATGACTGTCGGTCCTGCTGAGCCACTCCAGGATTCGCTTG